TATTGGACCTTATTTTTTTGATCAAGCTTTAACTGGTAACCGCTTCTTAGAGTTTTTGATCAACGACTTGCCAATTTTGTTGGAAGATGTGCCACTCGAAACTAGGAGAACTATGTTTCTGCAATTAGATGGTTGTCCGGCACATTATTCAATTAATGTCCGAAACCATATTAACGGGACCTTTCGAGAACGCTGGATAGGAAGGGGAAGCCTATTTCCTTGGCCGGCAAGATCTCCGGACTTGACATGTCTTGATTTTTACTTGTGGGGACGCTTAAAAGACATTGTTTTTCAAACTCCACCAACAACACGAATGGATATGGAAAACAGAATTCGAAACTCAATTCGTCAACTATCAGCGGTAGAAATCGAGGCTGCGGTTCTGTCGACTCAAGAAAGACTGGAACAATGTGTGGAATATGACGGAAGGCAATTTGAACACAGAAGGCATTAATCTTTTTTCAAAATCGGTCCTTTTCAGGACCACAACTTTATTTAAAAGGAAAATCGCTTATAAATACGAAAACGTGCGACTTAAAATCACAGCACTAAATAAACTGACATTTCTTGTGAATATTTTAGAGAGGAGTTTGTCTTTTATTTCCATGGCCTACTACTTGCCTTCTTATCGAAAGCAACCGATGCATTTTTAAATGGGGATATATGAATTTTCCTGGTTTAGTATTTTTTTTTAATAATTTGAGTTAGGAAAAAGATATTAAGATGCGGTTTGCGCAGGCTTATTGGTTGGTCATTTGTCTATTTTCTAGTCTAAAAAAAGTCATATCATCGCATTTAAATTTTTTGAGAAAATCCAATATTTTGGTTATAATATCGAATAACGCCCTCTATCGGCGGCCGTGTAGGTCGCAACTGTCATGATTACGAGAAACCTAAAAGCCCAAGAAATGCTCTTTTCAATGATACCAAATTTATCCAAATCCATTAAGCCGTTTCGAAGTTACAGGCATTTATTTAAAACAACATTCAAATACCCCCCACCACTTTATTTCGAAAGATAGAGAAAAATTGTTTTTACAAAAAATGTTCGACTTTAAGTTAACATTAAAACGCAAATACTTTTTTGTTACATTCATTGGGGAAAATCGCGAGAAACGTAACTTTATGTAATTCAAGATGGTGGAAACGCCCACTGGCGGCCATCTTGGAAACTTGAAAATAATTTCCAGCATTTTCCCTTGCCCACTTTACCTATAAAATTTTTTACCGTAGCTCTCTACGATCACTAGTTTCTGAGATACAGCCGCTTACCTCGCTTATTTGCCCACCCTGTACATTATGCCCTGCACGCACAGTCATCGTATTCATGTTTTCATGTAATGGCCGTCGAACGCGTAGTATACCAGAAAAAGTTGCATAAATATTACGACACGGATCAATTTATATAATAATAATTTTGTAATTACTTTGTATTGTATGCATAATGAATGCGATTGTAAGGAAACGTTTTTTTTTTTATATCGGAACAATTTTCGACACGTGCCAAGTTAATTTCTTAATTGCTACATAAATAATGACCGACGCATCTACGCGATTAATATATTTTTTTTTTAATTACAGACTAACATGTGTGACTCCGGATGACTGTAATTTTCGATTACACAAAACTAGAAACCGAAGTTATTTATAATCAAGGGACAGAAATTGTCAATAATTATTTTTATTACTCAATTTACGAGTAATCGATTTGAGTTCGTTTTTTCAATAAACTGAAAGCCGGTTAAGTTACAAGAGCAATGGTTAAGCCCGATCCTTCCCACACTAAGTATGCCATTCGTATCATAAATGCAACTAATAATTTAATTTAATTACTAACCAACATTAAAACATTTAATAATACCAATTTGAACATAATATCGTACGAAACTAGGTGAGAAATTTATGAAAATATTGCCTAATATTTCGCCGCTAAATTATTTTTTAATTGGGAGATATTTGAAATTTCAGTAATTTGATAGAAATATATACAGTACGTTTCACTTTAAGCGAATATGGAGCTATAACTTCCATCGCAAGTAAAGAAATATTAAAATAATGAAAAAAAATCTTTCCTATAAAATATGTTTCAAATGGACAGTTGATTTTCTATTCAATCATAATTTTCAGTTTCGTTTTTCTGGTCATATCTTCTTAAATTAATGTTGAATTAAATTATTATTTTTCCTATTTTTTTTTTTACCTATACAGGGTGATTCAGTCATAATGTCATTAATTTTAACCACGTATTTGGAAGGCTCAATAAAGACAGAAAATCGGAAAAAAAAATTGTTTACTCGACTTTTAAAAATGAAGGAAATCAACCCATAACTCCTACCACGAGGGCTGCCCTGCCGATGCCCGGATGCTCGGAAAATTTTGTAACGTAATGTCACGAACAGTTGTCGGCTAAAGGAACAGCGTTGCCAAGTTCAGGTTCAAGCTCGCCAGGTTAGTATTTGACATATAACCGACCACTTCGTACACTCGATGCACCTGGGCGACTACAGCTACTACGAAAACAGCCGGTATTTTAGATTTTAAATTAAATTTGTTGATACGATTTTCCTTTGATAAAAGACCGACAACTTTTTGCTACTACACTCGTATTAGTCTAGGGGCTAGGGGCCAGATAGGTTTCCGTAGCCAAACAGAATTCCACGGCTGCAAATAACTTATTTTTAAGTATTTTGACTTCTCGAAACCAAAAAACTTGGTGGCAAAGCCTGAAAGTGGTCAGTTTAATTGTTGTTAACAAATTGAATGTTTAAATGGCTGTAAAAAGTTTATTTTTATAGCTAGTACAATTTTTTATCTGTTAATTATTACGTTTTCTCACAACAAACATATATTTTTTTGAAAATTAAAAAAAGATTAACTTTAACCAAAGTTATTGCAAATTTAGTGCAAATATATTACATTTTCCGTCTCTGCGCGCACCAATTTTACCATATCTCTGGTTCAATTGGACGGATTGAGACGCACATCTCATTTTAAAACTTAAACTTTATTTTACAAGATAGGTAAGTTCCATTGATTAATTAATTTATTTAAAAATTAATGGCAGCTTAGAAAGTTGTGGAATTTCAACGAAAATGTTGGCTTTATTGGTTTATAAAACTTTTTTTGTTATTCAATTTTTATGAAAAGCCAAAAAAGTTACCGGTTATTGTTCCTCGCATCCTAACAATGATTTCATGCCTTGCTTGATTGTTAGAATGCAAAGAACAATATCCGGTAACTTTTTTGGCTTTTCGTCGAAGTTGAATAATAAAAAAAACCTTATAAACAATTAAAACCGGCATTTTCGTTGAAATTTCACAACTTTCTAAGATGCCATTAATTATTAAATAAATTAATAAATAAATGGAACTTAGAACCAGATATGGTAAAATTAGTGCGCACGGAGACGGAAAATGTAAGAAATTTGCACTAAATTTGCAATAACTTTGGTTAAAGTTAATTTTTTTTAATTTCCAAAAAAATACATATTTGTTATGAGAAAACGTAACTATTAGCGAATAAATTGTACTAGCTATAAAAATAAACTTTTTACAGCCATTTAAACATTTAATTTGTTGATAACAATTAAACTGACCACTTTCAGGCTTTGCGACCAAGTTTCTTTGGATTCAAGAGGTCAAATATTTAAGAATAAGTTGTTTGCACATCTGGCTCCTGGACTATATGGTGCACGTGTGCAAATTAAAACTGGGTTAAAAGGTTACTGAACCACAGGTTACCCTAGGTCGGAAACACGACGTACCGAGTTGTTTATTTGTCTCCGTCCCATTGTTTTTTTATGGAATATACAAGTCTCTCTTCTAATTGCAGTCAATATTTAAATACTGCATACAATTTATCCTCTCTTTATAATTTATCTAGTGAGTGTTGGTTTTTTATGACATTATTTCTGTAACGAAATTGAAATGGTTATGAAATGAAATTTAAATTATTTGAACTTTTGGGGTTTTGTAACTTCAATATTAAATCTTATTTAAAGTGAAACAGCTAATTTCTTTGCAGCCATAATAGTCACATTTGGTCAGATGAAACACACTACTACCCGCACACTACTCGTCGGTGGTATAGCTTTCAGAGGAGATTCGGTGTCAATGTCAATGGCGATCGTTTAATTGGGCCGCATTTTCTACCTGAACATCTGAATGGGCCGCGTTACTAATTTTTAGTAGAATTGTTTGAAAACCTTCCCCTTCGGGCTTACAGCAAATGTTGTTAAAATATTAAAATTATGATGCTAATAAAAACTGATTTTTGGCAAGGCATGCTCAGACCTCGAGGTTCTTGCTGGGCAACAATAACAATTTAATATGTTGATTGCATAAATAAAAAATAATTTATAGCATTTTAAATTATTATTGGTTGACGTGAGCAAAACCGTTTATTTATTGTCTTTATATGAGCGAAAATATATAAATATGGCAACGTTGCATCTAGGGCGCGTTGTTCATAGGTTCATATCGTAGCCGTGCATAATATTGTGACGTCAGCCGGTCAGTAACAGCCTGAAAAGGGGGTTAAATAATGATTTGAAAATATTTTTTACAGCTTAAATATGCATTTAATTTTTTTTTTAATCACGCCATCGTATTATACTCATTTTTCTCTATCTGCTCTTAAAATTAATGACATTATGACTGAATCACCCTGTATAAATATGCTAACAGCGAAGGAGAAAAAAGAGTTTTATGGATGGCCCTGTACATCTAGGTAGGACGTAAGCATCATTTATTTCCATTATCGGACAAATGAAAAAAAAAACACGAATTACCAAACGCACTTTCTACATTAGCGAGATGTTACAAAAAAAGCGGTAGGTATTGCGCCCATCCTATTATGCGTCGCGATGTCGCGGATGAATTTGCATATGCGCTAATGGCAAAGATAAAGCGGCCCCACCCTCCCCGCAAAACCAGTAAATAAGAGGGTGTCGTCTCTCGGCGGGTCCGGCAGAGTTTTTCAATGGACTGTCCGTCGCGAACTTGAGTTCACTTTTCAGTCCAAGTCGAACTTTCACTGAATATGCCGACTTTGCGAGGCGGCATCGCCATCCAATGAAGTTCAGTGGTCGTACGGGCTGGTGAGAAGTAGCGTTTTTCGCGTACGAGGTTCTGCGTTTGCCAAATGATATATTTGATAAAGAAAACCATGTGCCTGTAGATAAGGATAGATTTAAGTGTTGTACATAATAACCGGTACTCTTATCACCAAAAAGCTTATGGCGGAGTGCCACAAGGGTATGTTTTAGGTCTTTTTTTTCACGATTTCTGTCACTGCAAGTCAACTGTTACATCGATGACACGTAATTATATTATTCTTTCGAAGAAAACGTAACACACAAATTATGTACCTCCAACTACCCTTTAAAATCTAAAATAACATTATTTGTTATTAAGTTGATGTGATAATTGAACGACCTTTTACTTGTCTAATAACCAAGTGGTAAAGAATTTTTTTAAATGTCATAATATTTAATTAAGAATAAAAAATAAGTTGCTTATTTCAATGTTACTTTACCTAATATCAAAATATTTTAGTCTCACAGAATATAAAAGCCTATAATCTACCATTATTTAAATCAATATTACAAGTTTTATTTAATTTATTTTCTCTTCAATAGTATTTTAATTTTATTGAATTACGTATACATACATATTTACAAACATATTTGCTTTTATTTATACACATTTTGAACAAATTGCAAAATTAGTTAAATGTTTTGTGATTTTTGATATTTTCAATATTCATAATTGTTATTTTTACAAGTAGATTTAACAATAGATATGAAAATAGGAAGAAATAATTTTCCGACACTGGATTCTTTTACGATTTAAATAGTCTGTTGAAATCGTAGAAAACTGTTGTTTCCCCATCAGTAATCTTGAAATTATGGAAATTATTATACCACCTATCGATTTTGCAATTGATTTTAATTATGTGTTACCTAACTGCGGAGAAACAGAATCATCTATTAAGAAAAAGAATCACACGTGCAGCAGATTGGAATCTAAAAGAATACTTATACTTAACGAAATTTTATTTCTTCGAGAAACGTATTGCCAAAGTTGTAGCTGACCTCAGCCAATAATAACTTGTTTATGAGTAAAAGAACAAAATCATTCTTGTTATTTATACAATGTGTTGCATTCAAAATTTGTAAACTTTTTACCGAAAGGTAGTCACGGAAAACTATTTTCAAACCGAGTGTTTCAAATAAAAAGAGGAAATTCAAAACGTATTGAAATATGATGGAATAAAGACTAATTAAATAAAATAATGATGTTTGCAAAGCATCACGCTATGTGAATATACAATAGTAAGTGAGTCGTATTCGCTAAATGTAAATGAAACAGCACCTGCTCGTTCTTCATGCCGGGGTAAGTACCAAGACCATTATCCCTGCCTTATTTATATAAAGTAATTTCGCCATTTTAATTAACAGATTTATTCCATTTCGATTCCTGAATTGCTCTAGTGTTGTTCTTAGATATGCCGAAAAATGAATCTTCAAAGAAATGTATTCGTCACAATTCTTCCGTCATTTGATTAATGTTTTCGATTTGGAATCTTTCATTTTGGTGATATCTTACGCTGATTGAGAGAAAGTGTTAATAAATTTTTGCCACATTCTTCTTATAAGCATCTAATACTGAGACTATTTTTTAAAAAAAGTAGTAGGGGATAACTGACGGAACTATGAGGGAAGGAATAATGACTATGTACTAAAACATGGATGGATGTTATTTTTCAAAACTATTCAATTACGCAATCGAAGTCTTGTCCGACCTTTGCAAGCTGACTTTTTTCTTCTAATTGGATTCTACCGTTCAAACAATTGGTTAAAAAAAAACCTCGCTTGCGTTAAGCAACTCTGGCAGATTAATGGTATATACGAAAAACAAAACTAGTCATCTCTTATATAATCGAGAGACATGGTTCCATGGCACACTTCGAGTTCACCCAAACTGTGTCAGAATCGACAAACGTTATCTAACACGTCCTTGAATGACTTGACTATTTCGCGTCGCCCGTAAAATATTTCTAAATAGGTATTTTACCTAAACGTTTCTTTCGGTGTTGTCAAGTCCTCGACGTAACCATAACAAATTATTACCAACAAACCAAAATTTAAACTTGAATATACTTCCGAAATTATAACACCGGCAATATCAAGGTAACTGCCGATAAAAAATGTTAACAAAACATTCCTTTATAGAGAATATAAGAGACTATTTTAAATATCGGAATATTTTATCAGATATTTTTATTGGAACTGTAAAAAGTATTTGTTGCAACTAGCGGTGGCGTGCATACAGAGTGTCCCAGAAATAAGTGCCAAAATTTTAACCACATATTTAATTCATTAAAAATAACTTTTGTCTAATAATTTTTTTCAAAAATTTCTTTTCTGACATGCATACGAAAACTTCGCTTATTTTTTATGATTGTTTATTAAGAGTTTTTTAATATGATTCTGATTAAGCTCAGTTTGTACGTTCACTACGTCGCAAAGTACAACAAGACAATCACAATCTAATTATTCAAAGTGGGATAAACTCCCCGTCACATTACGAAAGCATTAAAATTCCTCGTTACTTTGGTATAACACGAGTTGTGCGTTGAATTTCACCACGTTCTGTAGGTTTCCGGCATGCAGATGTTATCCTACAAAACTAGTAGCAAGTTCACTGCTGAACCAGGTTAACGTAAGGCCTCTTACATAAAAACTGCGAACCAAGATCTCGGCAACATATGGCACGTTCCATGTTAACGAATTAGAAACTTTTTAGTTGTTTATATGTACTTACACTACTTACAGCTTGGTTCTATATTTTGAAACGTCTGTCTGAACGATAAAAGTATTTCCAAAAATAAATATCAAAGATACAGACTTTCGTTTGCTTCGTCCAAAAATGCAGAGATAAATATTTTCAATGTGAGAAGATGTCTCCGTTATTTTAATATTCAATGTTTGCGTAATATTGGGTAGTATGTAGTACATTTTCTATAGTAACTATTTAGTGGTTTCACAAGCGATAATGGGATTTTGATCGTTTTTAGGTATTGAACATTAGCATAAGTAAATGTAGTACCCTTTCGAATCCCAAGGTCGCGCCAACGCGCCATATAGGTATTTACCGTACAGTACTAGGTAATTTTTTCATCTAGTTTCATAATGTCACCGTTTCCTTTGCCAAGGGGCGTACTCGTCAATTAAATTAGATTCAATCACTGTGGTAACTGGGAATTTTACGGAAAATATTTGTTTGTATTTATGCTTTGTTCCATACTTGAGCACTAGGTCGCGTTTATTTGCTGGAGTAGAGCAAAAAATGGCAATGGATTTTTTTGTACAGTTATTAATAATTATATTTATAATCGAGTAGTGGACAGCTATAGATATAGGTTAGGTACGTAAAAAAGTAATATCCCGAAATTTGATTTTAAACAATATTAACAAGATTGATACCAAGACAACAACCATTTAACTTTTGTATGACACTATTACGTGTATTTTAAATCAAGGTATAAAAAAAGAAAGGAAAATGATGAGAAAAAATAACCTAGTAGGTTCTGAATTTGGGCAACACGTATATTATATTCGCGAACGTTAAAAGGAATTTTCAATATTTGCAACGTGTAGACGTAGAATTTCGACATTAGAAAGGATGTCAACGGCTAAATATTTAAGCATCGAATTTGTAATGGAGTCTGTTTCCTTAAACAAACCATATTTGCAGATGTATCCTTATTATATCATATTATTTAGGATATTACGAAAACTCGAATAGGAGAAAGTCTTTTATAATATTACTTTATTCTTATGTATAACAGTTTAAATGAATAGAACTATGAATTGTCACAATGTGCTTTCATTCTCCTTACAAGGATGCGTGATATTAGATCAAAATTGTATAGTTTTGATATTTTTTCATTTCATTAAGTGGTGATACTGTATCATCAGGACCGACGAATTCGTTGAGACTATCACCAGACTTCACTCAGATTTTTTATATTTCTATAACAAGGCAGTTTCACCGTTAGCATGCGACTGTCAGGCGTGAAGGCTTTTCTTGGTGAATGCTTAACGATATGCTGTTGCAAAGCTGGTGCGTAAAATTGAACAAAAGTTTTGAGTATAAAAACTTGCGGTGTATAAGTATTGTGTCAGTTGCATATAATTGACGATCGAATGGTCTTCGACCAGGATTTTCCTGCAACAGCAGCTTTTTATATTCGTTTTTAAGTCGATTTTTTACATATCATTTCAACAGAAGGTGTATTTGTTCTGTCTAAAGTGATTGATAGGATCATTATTGATTGTACCCTCGAGTAAAAGCAACAGTTGAATGTACGAAAAATCGTACTTCTATACAGTATGTCCGCGGATTGAGTTTACAAGAGGACCAAGTTCGTCATGACGATTTGTATTTTCTAAACAAGCAAAAACTTTTATCAAGAATGCTTTTTGTAAACTCTTGTAAACTCAATCCGTGGTCATACTATAAATGTACGAGTAAATGTTAAATTTTGCGAATTAATTCAGAAAAGTTACTAGGTTTAATCTCGGAATAAAAATTCTAAATCACTACATAGCAACTTTAAACAATTTCACTAACAATTTAAATAATTAACAGCAAAAGCAAAAACATTCGTTTAATGATTTGATTGTATGTTATGGCATAGGTATTACTTAGGTAATATGAATACAAATTTTTGAGGTGTAATAGTTAAAAATTGATTCAAGTATGTTTCACTTCAAATAAATACAATTTCCTTCACAAAGGAGGTAGGGAATATTTTTTACTATTGTTTGAAGGCCGTTTTTGTACATTAAGGTGGCGTTTTATAAACACAAGAAATCGTATTTTTTGTAAGACATTGGTAGAACAAGTAGATCCATCCAGAAAATGACGAAGAGTAACGTCGAACTACCGCAACTCCGATTAATTTTTTGCATTGAAAGATCACGGAGAAAATGCAAACGTCTAAAAATCTACCTTCCCTGTTTTGTCCAGCAAATTTGTAAAGGTACTCAATAATAGTGACTAATTCATGTGTTAATAGTTTGATAAGAGCATTCTGCGGGGTGTGATTATGTTTACAGTACCGTACGCGACGTAAGATAAACATACTCGTATAATACAACATAGGTATACATTTTTTCCTTATTTTGAATGTACTGTTTGTTGTGTTATGTCATGGAGAAAACTAAAGGGAACAGTGAAGAGATATTGTTTCTAACTTGTTTAGATTTTCTAAATTGCTGGACAAAAAGTTACGCATATATACGCCCCCCCTTAATTGGCACTATAGTGTGTAGTCTCAACCAAAGTATGACGTTACCAAAACGAAAAAAACAGAATAGTCGACAAGAATAAAGTAATGTCAGCAAAGGCGATGAAGTAATATTCTTTTTAATTCTATAATTATAGACCGTCGGCTATTTCTTCAGTATAATAATTAATAAAATAAATTTGAAATACTTTATAGCACTAAACAGTGCATATTAGTGAAAAGCCGTTGTTCCCCCTCGCTTTATAAAACCGGAAACGTAATTTTTATCATTACACAACAGCATTCCCCATTATTATTATCAGGTTCAGGGGCGTAGCGAAGTAGACTTTAAATGAATTATTGTGCTATCGATCGAATGCAATAGCCGCGAATAGAAAGTGGTCGATCTTTCACCGATCCACAGCCTTCGGGTCGTTTGATCGCCGGCCACGATCTACTAGTCGTGGCATTGAACTTCCAAGGTAGATAGATGCCTTTTCAAAACAAAACGCGACCGATGAAAATAGCACGAACGGGAACAACGATGAGTGTTCGATTAGTTTTTTTTGGCGGTCAATGGCTTTAACTGTATCATTGGCATGCTTCCTATTTTTCTGTCTTTGCTGAGGGGCTATGGATGTCTTTCAAGGTGAAAAATAAGTTCGGTCACGTATACCTGCTCGAAATTGCAGGCAAAAAAACGCACTCAGTCCTAATTGATATGTTGGATCCGTTCAAAGTGAAAGCCGCGGTCTGAAATTTTTGGCTCGAATTTAGCAGTTCAGTTTCTTTCACATTTCACAACCCAACGAGAGAAATTGTCAAGAAACGAAATATAAATAAATGTACCAATAATTCATTTGGCGTAACTAATACATAAAAATGTGTTGAAATAACAATAAGCGGATATAAATACTATTTATTAAACTTAATTATAGAAGAAAATTTACAATTATCTTGAGGGTATGTAACATATTCGCTATAATAATATAAATTGACGACGTAAAAATAAATACAATATTTGATTAATATACTTTGATAATATTAATATACAACTTGATTACGAGTATAATTAATATTTTTTGATATTTTAATGTCTTTCTCTTTATTTGATGAATGAAATAGATCGGTGCGCTGCGGGAAAAGAATGTCACGGGTTATTTTTATGAAAACAGTTTTGCCTGACCAAAAATCTTACGGTGAAAAAATCACAAGCACAAATAAAATATGCACTTCATTATAATATCGCCCACATCAACAAATTGTTGACATGTCGAAAATCAATATTTTTCGTTCTCAGAAGTTGGAATGACGTTTCAATTTTTTCACAGATCATCCAAATAAGTAATTAAAAAAAACTATGGCACAAATAACTCGCAAGTCGTCAATAACTTATTGTAACTTTCATTTGAAACGCTTTTTTGTAGGTATTATTGATTTGGATAGGGAGGAATTCGTCTTAAATGGAAGACCCTGTATATAGATAACTTGCACGTGTTTATGCACGGTCTATATATATAAAGAGAAAGAAGAATGCCACTCTCTCGTAACTCCTCAAGCGTATAATTCCATTTTGGGAAAGTTTAACGTCACAAGTTCATAAAAATGTCCCTGCCAATTATATAATTATAATAAACCGAAAATATAGACTTTACTTTCTTAATACCGATTTGCAAATACTATAAATACGATTAATGGTATAGAAAATCCTTACAACAGAAATTTTTGCTAGTTTCTTTTTTAATGAGGTCCCGTTTTTTCAGCTTCAAAAGAGCCAGCATGGACGCAAGAATGCTGAAGCTGATCGACCATCTGAGACGCAAAATATACGTAGAACTCTCCTCGTCCTTTTTCTTTGCCAAATTGGACCTGTATAAACCCGCTCTGAGATTACAATGACTCGAATCAGTGCTAGACTGTAAAAAGTGCTGCAGACAATACACAAAAACACAATTAAAGCTGCCATAGGCCAAATCTAGTCCCAAAAAAACGTAATAGTGTTTAAATCGTGCCAAAAATTAAATAAGTGTATTCGATAACCCGATATAGTGTTAATAATAATAGTTACGAAAGTTCTCCGAAAACGAACTAACGGAAAATAAGTCAAGGACCTACAGGAAAATGGCTGTGATACTGCTGTCGACTATCCTGGGAGCTGTGAAAGCGGGGGTAGGCCTAATAGGAGCGGGAAAAATCGCCATTCTGCCTTTTCTCATAGCGACCATGACGTACTTCCACTACGACCAATTTGATCCGGAGAACAAACCCTTAGACCGCTCCAACGTCGATCCCACGTACGACTTCGTGATCGTAGGGTCTGGGTCCGCGGGGTCGGTTCTCGCCAACAGACTGACGGAGGTGCCCAGTTGGAAGGTCCTTCTGCTGGAAGCGGGAGGACACGAGACCGAGATCACGGATGTGCCCATCCTGAGCCTGTATCTGCACAAGAGCAAAGTCGACTGGGGATACAAGTAAGTTCGAATTGGAAAAAATAGTAGTCATTAAATCTGTTGAAAAATAATTACTTTATTACCACAATTTGTTAAAATTACCCTTAATGAAATTAAGAGCTCGTAATTACGGAAATGTAGCATGCAGAACTTACAAAACAAAACATAGAAATGCCCGAAAATCAGAATTTAACAGAAAACTTTTAGAATTAAGAGACTTTTAGAATAGAAACGACAGCACTTCTGGTAGTTTTATAAGAATACTGTAGCAGATACCTAGACTGGAACTCGGAAGATTTAAATTTCTTTTCTCATGTTTCCAAATTTGTTTATTCCTGCGTTCTGTATGGTACATTTCCCGTTACATAACTGATAAAAAAACATGGGGTCATACAATTTTTTGGATATCTTAATGAATTTCATTAAAATATAGATAGTAAATGTCTAACAAATCAATATTTTGCGCCTTTCCCATTCTACCGTTTTGTGCACGTCTTCGTGTTGCAGAACGGAGCCCTCCGATACGGCTTGCCAAGCCATGGTGGAGAACCGGTGCAGCTGGACCAGGGGAAAGGTTCTGGGAGGATCCAGCGTGCTGAACACCATGCTGTACATCCGCGGCAACAGGAGGGACTACGACAGATGGGCCGCTTACGGAAACGATGGGTGGTCGTACGAAGAAGTGCTGCCGTACTTCAAGAAGAGCGAGGACCAGAGAAACCCCTATTTGGCTAAGAACGCGCGTTACCATTCTACTGGTAGGTAGCTTTTCACAAGAGCCAGGGCAAATTGTTTAAGTTCTTTAATAATAATGCAACAGTTACTTACTATAATTGCATTGGATATATCTACGGCAAACTTATATCAAATCAAATAGATTGGATATAACAAAGTTGCATTCAGCCTAATGAAATAGTCTTATCATCAATCGTAAATAACTTTAAAACAAAATGGTAACAATTAATTTTTATGGAAAAAATATGGTTTCATACAAACTCATAACAACCAGAATCCGAATAAATCGTGCTATGTAGCCTGAATATAAAAATTAAATACATACTACATCGGTAGAAGAGTTCAAACTACATATACAAGGAAATACTCGTAGGAGATTTACATCTTATATTTGAAAGCCGATATTCCAATAGTGGAAAAATGCTATATAAATATCTGACTAAAACTGAAAAAAAAGAGCAAAAGGAAAAAATTGTATCACACTCAACTTAAAAATAAGAATGATAAAACAAACAAATAATAAATCAAAGTCAAATAATGATCCAATTCAAAACGTTAATTAAAAGATGCAGAAAAGTATCGGTACTAGTAACGCTACAATTAAAACAAAAATTAGATAAGAAAGTACTAAAAGATGTCATTTATGCGCCGATATATAAGTTAACCTGTTTAAATAACTGCTAAAAGACAAAATCTACATCTAATAAAGACGTAAGTTCAATAGTTACATGACATGAAATATCTGTTTTACAACCGCTACTGTTTTTATTACTTGGTACGTATGTACAAGGGAAAATAGACACGGTATGAGTATTCTTATACCTAACTAATTAAGTACTACAACTATCCTTATTCGTTACATGAACTCACGCGTCAGTATATTGATTATAATAACACATATATGCATTGTGGTTTTGCCGAGACATAATGTGAATATTCAGAAATCAGAGCCGAACGCGCTAGAGTGTAAGGTGAATGTCTCGGTTATATATTCACGGTCTGGCGAAAACATTTAATAATAATAACAGCAAATAAATAAAACCTTCGTCATCGAGTACAACAATATTGAATTTGCATTAAGGATGGTTAAACTTATTGAATTAATGGACTTTCTAACGCTTCAAATTAGTTTTATCGTGGATTCGTCGCCCATTTAAACAATTTTTTTATTGGAGATTCAAATTATTGTATTCGTGACCTTAGGTTTTAATCAGTATAACGGATGTACAAAAGAACAATAAAGATAATAAAACAGAGCATTTATAAGTAACGAGGGTTCAAATAAAAACGTGGTCAAGTTGGTTCTGAAAATTTGGACGTAGGGCGTAGCGTATAGCAAATGAACTTAAACGTCATCTGTCAAAGCGCTATATCGCCGCTATCAATTTGAATATTTTCGTTTTAAAAAGCGTTTAAAATGGTGTTTTCTCAAGAACAAAAAGTGTTTATCATAGAAGAAATGGACGCAAGATTGATGGAATGTGGAAGTATTCTATTGAGGAATGTTTCATAGAATTTCAAAATCAATTTCCCGGCATTGTTGAGTACAAAATTTTTCAAAGTGCAGTTCAGCGTTGTGTTAATGTTTTTCGTGAAACGGGCAGTGTAACAAGAAAAGAAGGAAGCGGCCGACCTAAAAAGCGGACTGAAGAATTAAAAGAAAATGTCCAACAAATAATGGAAAATGCGCCAAGAACTTCTGTACGTGTTTTATCACAAATGGTGGGCGTATCAGTCGGTACCTGCCACACAGTGTTAAAAAAAGATTTGCGTTTGTTCTCCTATCGTTTAACTTGTCAGCAAGAACTTCATGAAGTTGATTTTCCGCGACGGTCTGTATTTTGTGAATGGTTTTTAAACAACTATGGTGAACTTCATAATATCACCTTTTTTTCTGATGAAGCCTGGTTTCATTTAAGTGGTTACGTAAACTCACAGAATATGAGAATGTGGTCTTCTGAAAAACCAGATAACTTTTTTGTCGAGGGCCCTGTACACGCTCAAAAAATTGGAGTTTGGTGTGCTCTCAATCGAAGGAGGATTTATGGACCTATTTTTTTTAACGGTACTCTTACTGCGCAAAGGTATAGAGAAGAAATTATCGCTCCTTTTGTTAACCAGCTGGAAGAAAACGAAATTACAAACTTTTACTTTCAACAAGATGGCGCAAGGGCACATACGGCAGGAGAGACGATGAATATGTTGAGGGAAGTTTTCCAAAATCGACTAATAAGTCTCAATGCTGAACATGAATTTCCACCGAGGTCATGTGATATTACGCCGTGTGATTTCTTTTTGTGGCCTTACCTTAAAAACACTATTTTTGAACTGCCTATTCCTGATTTAAACCATCTGCAGGCTCGACTTATAGACAAGATTCGTGAAATTAACAATACCCCGAGCATCTTAGAAAATGTCTTTAATTCTTTGAGGAACAGGTGTGAAAAGTGCTTGGAACAAGGAGGGGGACACTTTCAGCAGCTGCTTTAATTTATTGTTATAACAAGGAGGGGGACACTTTCCGCAGCTCCTTTAATTATTTGTTATTGTTATCACGATTATTCTTTAAAATAAAGTTATATAGTCATTAACGTTATTGAAACTGACAGCTGCTATACAGCTCGTTGAGAAATGAGGTTAAGTTGGTCACTATAAGCTACTCCCTACGTCCAATGTGTCAGAGCCAACTTCGACCACGTTTTTATTTGAACGCTCGTTATAAGTTTAAGGGCTTATCTTAACTATTTTTTGTTCTTGATCAATAAAGCACGCTGGTATTCTTTATATTTAATTGGATTTTATTACAGGTGGTTATCAGACTGTCCAGGACAGTCCATACAACACCCCCCTCGGCGTGGCCTTCTTAGAAGCTGCCCAAGAAATGGGCTACGACATCCGGGACGTCAACGGAGAAAAGCAAACCGGCTTCGCCTTTTACCAATTCACCATGCGCAGAGGCACCCGCTGCAGCACGGCCAAGGCCTTCTTGCGACCGATAAGGCTCAGGAAGAACCTGCACATCTCCATGTACTCGCACGTCACCAAGGTGCTCATCGACCCCGACTCCAGGAGGACCTACGGCGTGGAGTTTATCAAGGAAGGCAAAAAAAGGACGGTTCTGGCCACGAAAGAGGTGATTCTAGCCGCCGGGGCTATAAATTCCCCACAGCTGTTAATGCTGAGCGGGGTTGGCCCGAGGACGCACCTGGAGGACAAGGGGATTCGAGTTATACACGATTCTCCAGGAGTCGGTAAGGATGGTAAGGTGGACTGGATTATTTAGGTTTTAATACTGTCTTTCCAATATAGGTAAAAACCTGCAGGATCACATATCCTCCAGCGCCACCTTCCTCATAGACCACCCTATCAGCCTGGTGATCAGTCGTTTAGTCAATCTCAACACGGCGATAAGGTACGCTCTCAAGGAAGACGGTCCCCTGACGTCTTCCATAGGCCTGGAGGCAGTCGGTTTCATACCCACCAAATACGCCAACAGGTCGGACGATTGGCCGGACATGGAGTTTATGTTGACCAGCACGTCGTCGGCCGCCGACGGAGGCACCCAGGTAAAAAAGGCGCACGGGCTGTCGGACGAGTTCTACAAGGAGGTGTTCGAGGGCATCAACAACAGGGACACGTTCGCTATTTTCTCCATGATGCTGAGGCCCAAGAGCAGAGGAGAGATTCTGTTGAGGTAACCAGAAGTTTGTGTTGCATACTTTTCATACAAGTACAGTGTAATTTTGAATGGGGTCGCATTTATACGGAGACTACCAATTATTGTTTCTAGATCCAAGGATCCCCTGGAGTATCCTCTGCTGTACCACAATTACCTCACCCATCCCCACGACGTCAACGTGCTGAGGGAGGGAGTCAAGGCGGCCGTGGCGTACGGACAGACGGAGGCTCTGAAACGGTTCGGTGCGAGATTGCACGCAGTGCCGTTGCCGAATTGCAAACACCTACCCCTCTACACGGACGAGTATTGGAACTGCTACATCAGGCAGTACACGTTGTCCATCTACCACTACTCATGCACCGCCAAAATGGGTCCGGCCAGCGACCCATACGCCGTGGTGGATCCGAGTCTGAGGGTAGCTCGAAATTTATTTTTCATTTAAATCATTATTAAGTATTGTTGGGATGCTGCACAGGGTGGGAAATATTCGATACTTAGCGGTTTTCTCCTATTTCCCGAAAGATAGAAAAGAAGTAATTTAAATTTTAGTTTTTTTACTAACCTCGAATGTTTTGGTTGCATACAGGGTGTCCGGTAAGTACCTCCTAATCTCTCGGGAGTGTATAGGGGAGGTCAAAATAAAACTAGTCCTTCCTATAATTTTTTTTCCTAATGTGCCCCCTAACGGAGTTATGGGGGGTCAAAGGGGTACCTAGAAATTAACGTTTAGGGTTATAACTTTGAAACCACCCTGTATATTTTAATAAAATTTTCGTACGTTGTATTACACATGGAGCTCTACGATTTGATGCTAAAATCAACTTTTTGCTATTATCAGGTGTCCAGAAACGGACTGGCCCTATCACAATTTTTCTCAAAATTTTGACAGAAGTAATTTTATCAAACTGAAAATATTATTATTAGATACTCTGAAGGTTTTTCTTTAAAAATGGTACTCTTTATTTATTTCGAAAAAATGAACGGTTTGCGAGATAAATCGGTTTTGAAAAAAATTGGTAACAAATACAACAACAATTAAAATTTATTTTTTT